CAGATTTGCACCTCTAACACTGAGTTAGCCAAAGTATGTGAGAGGGAAGGGGGAATATATGTACAGTATGATGAAAAACTTTTTTTTTAGAAGATATTGCAGAAAGCCGACAGCCCTTAAACTCAGATTTCTGGATTAATTGTGAGCATTTGTACAAACTATGAATTCATTGTAGGAATGAATAAATAACATTCATGCCGTCCCATTTCTCAACCTATTCTGATTGGGAGCTCATTCCATATTTTTTTTTTTTTAGCAGGGATACAATTCTCCCTCTTTACAAGAGTTGCTACAACAGTGGGTTTGCTTGCTTGCTTATTTTATCTTCTCTTGCATGTCAGTCCAGAAGTGTATTGCAGTTTTGTTTTCACTTAGTCGAGTTTCTCTTTTTTTCTGTCTGATTTTTCTTTATAATGCTGCAACTAATACACAGGAAACTTGGGTAAGACAGAGTTTCTTTCCTTCAATGCAATTTTAAGCCAACATGCAAATCATGTATTTTCTTAAATGGCAGAAAAAGTATCCAGAAAAAGTATCCCCTTAGCTATTTAAGAAATTGAAATAACTATTTAAAACTAACTGCTATTCTCTAACTATCTAGTTTAAAAGGGAGAAGCTTTCCTACTTTTTAAAGACTAAATCAGCAAGGAAGAAGGCCAGTACAGTTGTAATTTCAGCTCTTGGTTGAATTACAACCTCTGTCAGATGCATTTATAAAATGCATTTTTAAAATGGAAACCCTTGAAAGTTCCTGTGTATATTCCACCCTTCCCTTTTTCCACACTGCGGTGTGCAAATATGCCACAGTGAGATATTTGCTATTTTGCCAGTAGTGAATGTGTTACCAAGGACGACGACTTCCCGCCATGCACAATTTCTGGCACACTGTGATGTCTCACTGTAAAACATGCACGTATGTCACAAGAGAAAACACCCCCACCACTGTTACCTCCAAACTGAACTATACATCATTTGGGGCATCATTATGGCTATTCTTTTACCTCAGAAAGCCACAATTTTCTTTGGTGCTAGAAAACTAATGCCAGTAGGCCACCACCAGAGAGTATTAAAACACAATGAAAGCACTATAAACACAACAGCGATTAACAAAGCCCACACATTGCAAGAACAAGTTGCAGATGATAAGCAGCATTAGTTAACGATAATGTTTACAAAAAAAATTATAACGATTATGAGGTGGTTATTACCTTACCACCTGAGGTTTCTTGAAGAAAGAGACTAATATAATTGAGCAATCCGAGAAACATTAATGAGGTTCTAAATTCTCTTTCTTTCTCTTTCTGCTACACAAAGTATCCCTTTCAGAACAATTGTAGTGAGCCTGCTTTCCCACCAAGTGCTGCTGCAGAATTTGTACGATATTTTATTGGAAGAATTTGTGAAAGGCCCGTCACAAGCTGAAGAGAAGGTAATACACCAGTTGCCAGAAACCAAACTCACTGGTTTCCTCAGGTACATTTCTATGCAGAACTTGGCAGTCATCTTTGATTTACTACTGGACTCCTACCGAACAGCCAGAGAGTTTGATACAAGGACTGGGCTGAAATGCTTGCTCAAAAAGGTATCTGGCATTGGTGGGGCTGCCAACTTGTACCGCCAGTCGGCCATGAGTTTCAATATCTACTTCCATGCCCTGATCTGTGCTATTGTGACCAATCAGGAAAATATCACTGCAGAGCAGGTGAAGAAAATCCTTTATGAAGATGATGAAAGGAGCACTGATTCATCCCAACAATGCTCTTCAGAAGATGAAGACATTTTTGAAGAGACTGCTCAAGTCAGCCCACCAAGGGGGAAAGAGAAGAGGCAATGGAGGGCCAGGTTGCCATCTTTGAGTGTTCAACCGGTGAGCAATGCAGACTGGGCTTGGCTAATCAAAAGGCTTCACAAACTCTGCATGGAGTTATGTAACAACTACATTCAGATGCATTTGGATTTGGAAAATAGTGCTGATGAGCTCCCTGTCTTCAGAGGAGACCCTTTCTTCATCCTTCCATCCTTTCAATCAGAAACATCCACACCATCTACAGGAGGCCTTTCCGGAAAAAACACCCCTTCAGAAGACGATAGAAGCCAGATTAGGGACTCACTCGCCGAAAACCTCACTCCTAAGGGAAGTACGGATATTCTGCTTCTTCCACCTTCGAGCCCCAAAATGGAGAAGAAAGACCAAGGCAGGAAAAAAGAATGGTGGGAGAGTGCTAGCAACAAAATTTACACCATAGCAACAGATAAAACCCTATCAAAACTAATGATGGAATATAAAAAAAGAAAACAACAGCAGCATAACTTGGCTAATTTGTCCAAGGAGATGAAAGCTGACAAGAAAGGGGATCCGCTCGGTACAAGAGGGCCAGATTCACCTCTCCCCCAAAGGCCACAAAATCTGATTGATCAAGGCCAGATGAGGCACTCCTTTAGTGCAGGACCAGAGATTTTGAGGCAAGAAAAAAGGCCACGCTCCGGGTCGACTGCCAGCTCACTCAGTATATCGGTCCGGGATGGGGAGGCACAAATACAGGTAAGAAAAGAGGAGAAGAGAGGAAATAAAGTGGAAGAACTTTAAATTTGGGAACACCTGCTTTTGCCTTTCATATTGGGGCACTTGGTTTCTTAATTGGTTTTTAAATACAAACCTACGATTATATAAAATAAATTGGTTTTTAAACAGAAGCCTACTATTGTATAAAATATGAGATGCTTGTGTCTACACAATGAGTCTTAAGCATATAGCATTTTTAGCAAAATGTTCTGATATACAAGATACCTACCTATAAAGTGTATACATACAGCTTCTTGGCAAAAGTGCCTTAGTCTAACTTACCTCCACACGAACACTCTGACAATAATCTTAAGTTTCTTCTGTAGTTCAGAATTTTCTGTGATTAATTCAGATATCAACAAGATCCTTGTGAACTTCCCAGAATAAGTTAATATCCTGTATTTTTTTTATTCAGTTTAGTTTAATTCATTCAAAGCAGTCACCAGCTGACTCCAAATCAACTCTGGGTGGTATACAATAAAACCAACAGAATAAAAATTGAACTTAAGAAATATGAAAAGATAAAGGAAAGAAACAAGAACCAACAGCAGATCCAGCTATCCACACCTATGCACAATTTGGCAGGGCCTGAACCACCCTAAATCATGGCCTGGGAGAATAGCCAGATATTTAAGGATTTCCAGAATGCCATCAGGTTGGGAGTCACACAGATTTTGAGGAAGGATCTCATTCCAGAGAGCAGGTATCACAACAGAAGGCATGGTTCCAGATCCCAATAGATGGTGTTTAATTGAAGAGACCCAGAGCATACCAGCCATGCTGGATCAAACAGGTTGGGATGATACCACAGGATATAGGTGATTCCTCAAGTAAGTAGAGTTTTATGGGTCATAACCATCATCTTGCATTGTATTGAAAAGTATACCAGTAATCAGTGCAGCTCAAGAAGCAGAGGAGACACAAATGTGGCACACCCATCACTGTTTATGCTGCTGCATTCTAGACCAGTTGAATCTTCAAGATCAACTCCATGTAGAGCACATTGCTATAGTTGTTTTAGTTTTTCATTTCTGGCATGTTTGTCATATTAGCATTTTTATGCATCTTGGCCTGGATCAACTAGATATGGTACCAGAACATAGACAATGGTCACTAAGTGTCCCTCATCTAAAGAGATTATTCTCCTTTCTTGGGCAGTTTACACTAATAGCCCTATTACTCAACCTTGGTAAAATACTTTTCATACCGAACTGCCTTATGTTCTCACTTAACATTAATACTGCATTTTTTTCTAAAGGTGTCCTTCTTATTTTCCCTACTGGTCTATGTTCTTTCATTTGTTTTTGTTTTTTGCATTGTCCTAATTTATAGATTTATTGTTCCCTTTTTCTCTCTCTCTCTTTGCATTGTTTTAGGCATGGACCAACATGGTTCTGACAGTTCTTAATCAGATTCAATCCTTACCAGACCAGATCTTCATCGCCCTTCAACCAGCAGTATTTCCCTGCATCAGTCAATTGACTTGCCATGTGACAGATATTCGGGTTCGTCAGGCTCTGAGAGAATGGCTAGGAAGAGTGGGAAGGGTTTATGACATCATTGTGTAGAAGACTTTAGTTGCCTTATCAAAGAGAGACTGAATCTAACATATTTCAAGAAACAGATATAAAGTGCATTTGTTGAAAACTTGTCTATTTAAAAAAAAAAAGGTAGAATGATGTACATCTGCCCATTTGCTAGTCAGTAATAACTAGCAAGCTCTGTCCCATGCTATTAAAACTTAAGAGCACAGTGTAGTCATACTCATGACCCCAGAGAATGTAAAATAGCAGAATATGATAGAAGGAGCCTTTGTATTAAATTTGAAATAGGTATTCAGACAGGCTGATATTCAGATAGGCTAACAGGCTCAATATGTTTGATACTGCATATTTTCTAAAGAACAAAAAAAAAGAATGTCTCTTTCACAGGAAGGTAGCAAAGAGGATTATGGAGCAAGGAAAATAGCATGGAATGGACACAGTCATAGAATAGACTTTGTCAAGATTGACCATTGAGAATGTAATGATTGTGGAGATGTCTTTAATATAGATTTCTGTTACGTCTTAAATGAGGCATCCGATCCTTAAGTCATCTAAATTTAAAACAATAGTCGTGCCAAGGAACAGAGGAGCCCATCTATTCTAACCTTTTTAAAAAAATTGGCAATGAAAACTAGGTCTTCAAACTTAGGAAGTGATTATATTTCAATGTGATTGTAACAGGTTTTCAGACAAAAGTACTTACCATCTTGGAGGTACTGTAGGTGCCATGAATTATTTCATATTGCTATAAGGTGCCTATCCAGAAATTGGTAGACTTGTCCAATGCTCAGTTGAGAAATGAGTTTAAGCCTTTTTTCTCATTTTGATGCAGACCCAAGACCAAATATATATTTTCTATGTTCTGTAAATTACTTAGGTTTTTCTGATTCTATATCTTTGCTCATCTCTTCACTGGATGTTAACAAACGCTGTAAAATGTATCCCAGGTTTTCTGTTTTCAGGCTTTTCATTTTGTATTGCCTGGCTTCCCTGACAGGACAAAAGAATCTGAAAATTAGGCATATGAATAGAATACGTAGAGTTATCAAATTTTTGCCCTTACAACAAATCTGTAAAATAGATTATTCTCAGATATTATTTACTGACCTTTATGGTTTTAAGGCCAAGCAGAAATATAATTCACTCATCATTTTTTTTCTTAAGGCAAGCTGGGTGACATCCAGAGCTGAATATAAAGAAATGTAAGAAATATTACATTAATTATGGGACAGATT